GCTAGAGTGCAGTGGCACGATTTCAGCTCACTGCAACCTCCACCTCCTGAGTTTAAGCAATTCTCCTGCCTCAGCTTCCTGAGTAGCTGGGATTGCAGACACACGCCACCACGCCTGGCTAATTTTTGTATTTTTAGTAGAGACAGGGTTTCACAGTGTTGGTCAGGCTGGTCTCGAACTCTTGACCTTGTAATCTACCTGCCTCGGCCTCCCAAAGTGCTGGGATTAGAGGTGTGAGCCACCGCATCTGGACTTCTACTCACTTTTTATCGGTGATTTATCTTATTATTGAGCTATAGGACTTGCTTATATAAATAATTATTTTTAAATTTCTTGATCAAAACAGCGTATGTTTTGGAGTTTATCTTCAATGTGTAGATGAACATAATGAAAGGCTCTTAAGTACTAGCTAAGTATCTAACTGGAATATAAGTGCTGTTTTGCATGTGTAAGTAACTAAAGAATAGATCTAGTAGAAATATAAAGTATTTTTTGTGTGCCACTCCTGTTGCCCAACATGAATGAATCCATCTCTCCAAATCTGCCTGTTCTAGTGAATGCTAAGTTTTTTATTTGTTCACTTTTTTTTAACTTTGATAGGATAATTGTTGGTTAGGGTCCAGCTGCTGTGAAAACTCATCTTATGGCTGTGTTTCAGGTGTTTATTTTAATCATATCTGTCTGTTTCAAACAGTATTCTCATCTTTCTTAGACACTTTGTGAGGACTGATCAACTGCCAAATAAACTTTTAGAGACATTGAAGACCCATTGAAAAGCCACGTAAGATAAATATTCGCTTATGGACACATGAGAGTCAAATATCACTCTAATTGTAAAAGGAGGAAGTGTGGCTTACTTTATATTGTAATTCGTTAAATCTTAATGGCATTTTCATGTATATGTGTGTATTCCTCTGGCCAAATAAAACAGTTGAGTAAAATTAGAAATGGTGCCATTAATTATTGGATTATGATGATATATTTACTGTCATCTCTTGACAGACTATAGGAGATCACATTTTAGCTATAGCTCTTTTCTTTAATTAAAAACAAATGTATTCTTTATTTTTTTATGAGACAGAGTCTCACTCTGTCACCCAAGCTGGAGTTGGCAAGATCTTGGCTCAATGAAGTGAGTCCCTGCTTCCCAGATTCAAGCAATTCTCTTGCCTCAGCCTCCCAAGTAGGTGTGTGCCAACATGGCTCGCTAAATTTTGTATTTTTAGTAGAGTCAGGGTTTCACCATGTTGGCCAGGCTGGTCTCGAACTCCTGGCCTCAAGTGATCCACCCTCCTCAACCTCTCAAAGTGTTGGGATTACAGGCGTGAGCCACCGCAGCCAGCCAGACAAGACAGCAGCTGTAGATTATGTTCCATTCCATTACTTAATCTTCTTTTTTCTTTTCTTTCCCTCCCTGCCTTTCTGTTTCCCTCCCCTGCTCGAGATGATCCAACCTGCCCTTGGCCCTCCCCAAAGTGCTTCGCGATTCCCAGGTGTGAGCCCACCCGTCCTCTTACTAATTTCTTGTATTTAAAAGTAGAGACAGGGTTCACAGTGTTGGATGCCCGCAGGATGGGTCTCGAGACTCCTGACCTCAAGGCGTGGCATCCACCTCCGCCTTGGCCTCCGCAAGTGGTTGGATTACAGGCGTAGAGCCCACCAGCGCCCACCACTGGCAATTTCTTTTTTTTTTTGGCAGAATACAGACCTATTGTTCTGTTGGCCACAGGCTGGAATTCCACGGTGGCAACAATCCACTCAGCTGCAAACCTGTAGTCCTGCAACTCCCTCGGTTTCTGCGTGATTCTCCACTACCAGTCAGCTGGGACCTACAAGCATCTGCACTCATAGCCAAGTTATTTTCACTTTTCTATTAATGTACATTATTTAATATTGTTTCATTTGAGAACGAGTTTTTCGCTATCGTTGCCACACGCTGGAGTGCACATGGTAGCCAATCTTGGATCCACCAACAACTTCTGCCTCCCGGGTTCA